TATATATATGCATGTATAAAATGTGTGTGTGTGTCTGTAACGTTAACAAAGATATTGTAAAGTCATAAATGCTCTCGGTCAATGTCAGTCTGAAAGAAAGAATAGTTAAAGCAAGTACTCTTTGCATTGTAACGTGTTCGATATCAGGGACGGAGCATTAATAGGATTAATACAAATATAAAATTTGTCACTTGATATTATATTCAGCACGCCGAATCCAGTAAACGTTGTGCAAACTTTCGATTCATTTGTCTAGTGGTTTGCAAAGGAGGCCGCATATGGAGCAAGAGTGAGGATTGTGGGATGAGATAACCGTTAGCATGGCTGACCATTTAGATCTTGCTCTGGCTTCTTGAAGACGATTCCGACTAGGAGATTGAAAACTGCGAGAGTTCACAAAAACACGTTGATTTCCATTATAACCGCTACAAGGCTAATTTTACAGGGGTGTTATGAGGTATATCGGCAGCTGACAAGAATTTGTCTTTCAGCTTGTCTTTGTATCTTAGTGATGGGCATCCTATATCCCTGTAGGCCTGATCTAACCGGCTATATATATATATATATATATATATATATCTATATATAATTATTTATTTTAGGATATAAAAAAAAACATGTTAAAATCGCTACAATACTAATACTCTACTCTGTGTTAAGCCCTCTTTTATACTCCATTTGTTCTAATTTTACCTAGATATATATATGGTTAACTTTTTCCCCCACTACCCTTCCATTCCTATATATCATTTCCGTTAAGTTAACCATCTAAATAGGTCACGATTAGGTCACTCCTCCTACCCCAATATAAAACATGCTTAAGAGAAATATGAAATTAACCTCCCTATACTCTACCTTGTCTCGTTAACTACAACTATCACCCTCCCTGTTAAATTACAAAATTACACTACCCATCAATTTCTAATCCCATTTTCCTTTCATTTCGTTGTTGGAAGTGTTACCTGATGATCCGGTGTTCTTCAAAAAGGATTTTGGTGAAATAAATTATTGTAATGGTACCTTAAAGTGGTCTGTTTTTTCATTAAATATATATTATATATATATATATATATATATATATATATATATATATATATATATATATATATATATATATGGGTATGATTAACTTGTACTAAATTTAAACCTTGAAACTTTTCTAACAAAACTTTTCAAGTTTCAAATTTAAAAGTGAGAATTAGCTTTCGTTGGTTCAAAATCAGTATAAATATGAGATCTAATTATATGTTTAATAGATTTATCATGCATATCGCCCTAAGGAGAGCTTTGATTTAAAACACATGAGTCAACTAAACAGATAAGTCACTTGTCATAATATAAGTCATATATATATTTACACACATACACACGCACAAACAGATAGATAGATAGATAGATAGATAGATAGATAGACAGACAGACAGACAGACAGACTAGTCTTTAATGGAACGGACTGAGGAATCAGAGAGCCGTGTTCGAATTCCAGTCGAGTCCATTATATTCACTTCCGTGCTAATATCCTTGGGAATGGTATTTATCCTCCAGCTATGAGCAGGTTCTATAGCCTTGGATGGCAACTGGTCTAGGAGAAGGACAGCTCTGAATTCAAAAGCTGCGAGGGATCTTTTGGGGATCTTTTTCAACGTAGTACGCCAGGTCCCTGTATTCGGCCCTTCAAATAGTGTGGTTAGTTCTGCACGCATCATTCGCCATTATAATCAAATCATATGTGCTAGTGTCTGGGATGTCGTTTACTAGGAACTAAGCCGCGTAACTTAATACGTCGAATACGACGTGAGCGTCCAACACACAGACACACACACACACACACACATATATATATATATATATATATATATATATATATATATATATATATAGAGAGAGAGAGAGAGAGAGGGGGGAGATAAATATATGTTCATATACATACATACATATATATATATATATATATATATATATATATATATATATATATATATATATATATATTGTACTTGTATTCAGTAAAATAACAATCACCGACTTATTCACAAGGTATTGTTCTCAATATATTTTTGCTGTCATATATCAATGCGTTGTGATAATCTGAAGATGAAATGATTTTCTTATATATTTATTATCTCTTCCTATTCTAGTTTCCTGCTATGAAAGATTCCAAAATATCCCCTCGTGGTTTAAACGATAAACCTACACAACACAGGCAGTGACTCAATTGCTCAAGACATTGCGTTCTTCCACCGAGAGTCATCGCCCGCAGGCACATGTTCTTCCGAAGGGACTTCTATTGCATATTGATTTCACGCAACACGGTTGGGAAATGTGATTACACCGAAACACGCACCGTCGTGTCTGCGTTGCTTTTGTGAGCATTTGAGTTCATAGGTTTGTAAGAATGAATATCTCTAAGTATTCCTGAGTGTTTCTGCGATAAAATAGAGCCAGCATCATTGACAACATTAATAATAATAAGAAGAAGAATAGTAAAAGTCTATTTATAAATTGTTCTCTGCTTTCTTTACTTGATGATAAGAATAAGAATAAACAATTTAATAAGGCCGTTGGCTATAAATGTATGAAGTTGATACACATATCTATGTAAATAAAGAATAATGGCTCAAGGAAACGACAATAAAATGACGAGTCAATGAAGGAAAACGAAGATCAACTAATGTCCAATTGAAAATAGCAGTAGCAAACATTAAGAAAAGCATGAACAATGACTTAAAGCGGCGAAAACAAGAGCGGATTTAATATCACTGTGTTGAGGTAAGTGAAAATAGAATCGGGTGTATTAGTAATTATGATATGCAATAAATATATTCGACGAATCATGGCGGAACAGTTTAAACAGTAGTAAATAGCAAAATCACTGATGCGGGACAAAGTGAAAATGTCTTAACACATATCAATTGTTAGTAGAAGTATCTCAAAGCAAGGACACAAATTGATTCTCTTAAGTGTAGAAAAGGGTTCAGTAGATATTTTAGAAATTAATTTAATTCGACTATATAAACAAATGGTCTCACCTCTGAGGTCGCAAAATCCAAGAGAATTTCAAATAAAATAGATAAATCAAATAATACCTGCCATTTGTCGCGTACTGGAGGCTCGTTTACTTTAGGTATTACGCATATGTCATGAAACAACTCCAGAAAATATCATGTCAGTTATGTGCTATGCGTGATACACGCTTAGGCGATTATGTATCTTTCGATACATGACTGACGAGGCAGGTTTTTAATTTATTTTTTTTAACCCGAGTAGTTTGCCATTTCTTTCTGTGTTAGATCAGTTACCATCCAAGGCTATAGAATCCGGTCTGTCCTGCTATTTACTCCTAGATGGTGTGGAAGAAGAGGATTCATAAGTTTTCCAAGGGTAATATTATCTCTTACGTGAATGTAAGTGATTTGACAGGAATTCAAACTCGGCTCTCTGATTCTTCAATCCGAACCGTTATCGATATGGTATACCAGCCAGGTGAACCTCACAGAAATACCAAAATCCTCTGCGAAAGGTTCCAAGAAATAGGACTCAAGTTAAACCTTTCCAAAGCAGAAACTATGATCCTGAATTGGAATGAAAGGATTGATTGCGCATATACTGAGTCCATCATAAAAATTCCGGATATGGATTAAATAAATATCAAACACTTAAAATACCTTAATGGATGGATCAGTTAACATAAATTTAGTATAGATGATAAAGAGATAAGACATAATATAGACATCACTGGAAGTAGTTTCGCCTAACAGCGCAAATTGTTACAAAACAAAAACCATAACATGAAAAATGATTAGGCTATATAAGCCTGATCTGATCGAGACATTCGTATGAATGTCATGCATGGTGCCAAGGCCGATCAGTTTTAACTAAACAGTCACCTGTATACAGCCGATTTAACGTATTAATGCTTAAAATAGAGCGAGTAAATCCTGTGTATATTGGCGAAGACCGTCCTTCTTAGAAAATTGTGAGCTGCTGCTAGAGAATTACAAAGAACTGTAAAAAATAACAGAAACTACTTCATTTCAGGAATTTCAGCAGCAGCAACAACTAAAATGAATATCACATGTGACTTGAATTCCACATTACCTGTAGTAAAATCTATGAAGGAAAGCCTCACCAATAATACAGCTCTCATACTCTGAAACCTATTTTTGTGAAAACAAAATTGAGAGAAAAATTTTATAAATTTCAACTGAGAGTATTACTAGCTGCAAGCCTAATCCATGCCAAATGTTTCCTTATACGGAAACGACAAATATCACCATTACTATTAAGATCAATGATCACATTTTGGGAACAGTGGGTATTAATGCGTTATAATTAGAAGCATATAATTATTACTAGGTTTTTATGGACCTATAACTAATGGCGGATTTTAAAAACTGAATTTATACAGCTAATTAGGAAAATTTCATGCCAGATTTATAATTTTATTTAAGGAACCTGTAGTTAATACCTGATTTGTATTTTATTAATAATATCGAGTTGTACAGTGGATGTTACTGGGTTATCATGAAATAGATTATAAAAATGAATAAAGATGAATAGCTGAACTTACTTAAAAGGGTGAATGGTGAATTTGAGCGTCATGAATGGTTTAAACATAACTGGAAAGCAAGTGCACTTCTCTCCCCCTCTCCTCTCCGCCCCCAACCCCAACGTAGAAAAGCGAAAAAATTAAAAACTGGAATTATTTAGAAAAATGTAAATTCTATAGATAACAAACATTTATTTAATTATTTATTTATTTTTAATTGATTGATTCGTATTCTGGGGCTTATCAACTCTATGCAGGTTAATGAGAGCTAGAAAAAATAGTTTTAGATTGTAAGAATCTTCTTTTTTTTTAGATAACAATGATTTAGTGACGCACTAAGTGGAGTGACATACCTATATTTCCCAAGTACATCTGCACATAATTAAATGTAACTAACCCAACTGGAATCGAAACTTTACCATTATCTATTACACCGACCACAAATCCAAACTTACAGCACCTGGTATTCCCAATCGGTCACCCATCTAGTACAAACCAGGTTTGATCTTGCTTAACTTCTGTGATGGTACGGGAACCGGTGTTTCAGTGTGATATAGTCGTAAGCTTTTCTTTTAATGACAGTGAGATAAAGACTAAAATGAAAACAATGAAATCTCCAACCATCACGTATAGCCGCAAATACATTGGAGGGCTCGAAAAGCGCATTTGAATAAACGGATTATTAGAAAAAAAATTTAAAAAAATATTAAACATCTGCTTAAATAGTAAAAATGTAAGTAAAAGTGGAAACTTATGTGTGATATCAGTAGTGAAGTACACAGGACCATTCCTAGTCCAATGAATTTACCGACAATGCAGAAATAACTGCATCCCCAAGATAACGCGGAGAAAAGATATTTAAAAGTCAAGGAAGCAAGAACTATACAAATGGCAAACTTATAAATTATTCACAAATATTAAAAATTTGCCCAAAACAGTTTCGAAGATTATAAAATAACAGTGTATCAGTAGAGAAATACCACAGAAATATGGAAAGATAAAAATAATTCAATTTATATGAAAAAAGCAACTCTCAGAATGAAAATCATAGAGATAATTATGCAAAGGACATCTGAAAAGCGAAAAAGAAGCTTTTATAACTGCCCCGCAGAAATGTTTCAGTGTAATGTTAGCGTGTTACAGACGAATAAGTACTGGAAAGTAAATCCACAATAATCAAATTTACGATTTAATAAATTAGTCTTTGGGAGATTTCTCCATACGTGGATTATTCTTACAAAGATGTAACTTTTCCTTTCTCAAGTCGATGCTAATATATATCTTTGTTTCATCTGTTCTACTCACTTTTGCACATCCTAAGTCAACCGCGTATTTTCATGGCAACAACTGTCACTAATATCAAGTGATAGCGCGAATCTGCATCGGAAGGTTAGGAGGATATCCCGCTAATGCACCTGTCTTCTCTCACGGCCTCACTGAAAACTGAACGCAAAGTCTATTTTGTTATCATCTGGAGTGAAAAATATACTACATAACAATGGTGGGACTAGTGAGGAATGACATTAAAAGTGGATATGAACAGAAAAAATATAACCCATTTTTAATATTAACTGGAATTATCGGAAGCAAAAGATCATGAATATAATTAGTCAGAGGATGTATGAAAAGAGAAACGGTACGTTTTCTCATTACTGCACTTCGTTAAATCTACGAGGGTAAATTATTCTTGTTCCACTGTTCATGTCGAGTGACATATCGTTCTTACTAAACGGTATTCCTTGCTTTTTTTCCATTAAGTCTAAATCTTTATCGTACAGGCCAAGGATTGAAAGCCAAATTACTATGATTCTATTTCCACGAACCTCCGCTTTATGAGGCTATTTTTCTTGTACCTACAATAACTGCTACGATTTAAATAAGATCAATTAGAGACTCTCAAAGAGTATAAAACCCTTCAGGCTTATCACGATACCGAGCGAGGTGCTAAAGAGAGAAACAGATATGATCTCATTGAAAATCTTTCAAAAACGCCGAGACATAAGTTGGTATCATAAATAAGACATAAAAGTGAAAATTGTGTGTTACGGTGAATATTTATTTACTGAACTGTTGTAGCAACCAACTCTATCCCTCTAAGTATACACCCAGGTATTGTTTAACCATGTTCAGAACAAACCTCAAGTATAATTGCGGTTATTCGACTCCATACATTGGTGTATTAGCCTAGTCTAAACTTCAAACATTTTTCAGTCCAGATCGCTTTTAGTATTAATATCAACAACTGTTTTTCTTAACTATAATGTGTATGTGGTTGGCCTAGCCTACCAAACTGTCAATAATGACTGACCAGAGCTCATTCACTAGTAATCATTTATTGGCTGACAAAATTCAATTGAAAAGTTAGATCAGCTAAAGTTGGGATCATGAATAAGATATAGAAGTGAAAATTTTGTTTGTTTGTTTGTGTGTGTTTGTGTGTGTGTGTGTGTGTGTGTGTGTTACGGTGAATATTTATTTACTGGACTGTTGTAGCATCCCAAGTCTATCCCTCTAAGCATGTACCCACGTATTGTTTAACCTAGTTCAGAACAAAACCCCAAGTATATTTGCGGTTATTCGACTCCATACATTGGTGTATTAGGCTAGTCTAAAATAAATTATTTTTCATTTCATGTCGCTTCTAGTATTAGTATCAACAACTGTTTTTCTTAACTATAATGTGCATGCGATTGGCCTAGCCTACCAAACTGTTAATAATGACAAACCAGAGCTCATTCACCAGTAATCATTTATTGGCTGACAAAATTCAATCGGCAACCAGAAGTTAGGTCAGCTAATGTGTAAAATGAGAAATCGAAACGATATTGATGGTAGTAGAATTCGTAAAAGAAATTTCTGCGGACGTGTGACAGTTCATGATCGAGAAGGGAAAAGGAGTGGTTATATTCTGGAACAGAAATAAATATGAAAAAAAATCAAAATATTCAAATTATTTTAATACAGACAAATATTCAAATATGTATTTTTATTATCTGCTTATATTACAAAAATTTTAACACTACTTTATTTACTTATACAACTTTATAGGTGGCAAACAAAATAGTTACTCATTTTCCATTTTAAAATTTTAGGAAAATTTTAATTAATCGTTACCTATAAAAAAAACAATCTTCAGTTACAATGATTAACCTGAAGAATGTTTTACCGCACTAATCGAGTATTATGCAAGCACTACCCGAAAACGCATTAATCGAATACGCATTAATCAAGGGATTCCTGTAGTTGCTTCTCGGAGTAGGGCACGAGAGTATTAAAATTGACACATAGCCAAGAATTTCTCAGTTCCCATTCGAAATCAATACTTTTCATATTCTTGCTAGTAAATTACACAGACTAATTCAAGTTTTAAATAGATTAGCTAACTCAGATGAATGACAGTGCGCTGTGTTTAATTGATCATTTTGTGAATCTAGAGAGTTGTAGTAGAACTTTGTCAATATGTGCTTTTGTATTTTTGGCAATTTTAGTTTAGACATGCACTGAGTTCTGTTCCCAAACACACACACACAAACAAACACACACATACACACACACACACACACACACACACACACACATATATATATATATATATATATATATATATATATATATATATATATATATATATATATTTGTTTGCTAATACAGGTAAAACTGCTCGGAATATCTTCTAGGTTCGAGTTCTTGTAATTGTTTAATGCCAAAACTAGCATAGAAGAAGAAGGAGCAAAAACGAATAGACATATATAAATCTTCCATAGAGCACACATGCGTAGCTTTTTATATTTGTGCATAGAGTGGAAATTTAAATCAAAATTCAAGTCATAATTCAGACAGCCTACCGATATATTGGTCTGAATTCCTATAGATAAAAGACAATGATGTAGAAATGCATTAAACACACACACACGCACACACACACACACACATATATATATATACAGAGAGAGAGAGAGCGAGGCAGTGAAAGTGATTTAGAGAGCGTGATTCTTTCTGAAGATTGCACGACAAAGTTGAGAATCTCGATATGTTGTTCGCTATATCTGCACTGTCGATTTCTAGAGATGAGACCTTTTCGTCGAACACACACATACACAAATATTTCAGTTTCTTGTGAAGTTTACATTTGCATACTATATATATATATATATATATATATATATATATATTATGCAAATGTAACTATATATATATATATATATATATATATATATATATATATATATATATACAAGGTGACATGGGTAAATAGTTTAATTTCGTTCATGCGTGTTGTTTGTTTTTGATTTTGTCGACTGCACAGTATAGTAAATTCAGTTGGCTAATGTCAGTGGGAAAAAGAGCACCATGACGAAATGCTCACCGCCAGAAATTTGTAAACGGCATGCTACCCCTGCTTGACATTTGCGCCGGAACCTGAAATGCAAAAATTTCATAGTCTTTCGGCGTGAAATTCGGAAAGAGTTGGATGAGTCTAATGGTGATTGGCAACGTTTTAACCCCAATCATCTTCCCACAGGGGCTAAGATTCAACACGGAGTCCTACATCAAGTGGCTTAAGGACGTAGTGCTGCCCTCGGTTAAGAGGACGAATGCTGGGAGAACCTATGTCTAGCAACAGGACTCTGCACAATGCCACAGAAGCAGACGAACACAGTCATGACTTTCAGACAATTTTTGCATTAACAGAACCCAAATGACTCCCCCTGAATACCCAGACTGCAAATTTCTTGATTATTACGGATGAGGTTCAGTTGGGCGAGAGACAAACAAAACTCTTTATAACACCAAAGATGAACTGAAGTCAAGTACTGCTGGAGTATTCACCAACTTAAACAAGGAGAGCGTTCAGAAGAGTGACAGGAAATTCCAAGTCATCAGAAAGACGTGGTTAAAGCCAGTGGTGAATTTATTGAATATATTTACAATTAAATTTAATTTTCGAAGATAATTATATTTAATTTTGGTAAATACACATGTTAAAATGAGAGGCCAGTGTTATTTTCATTTTGCGTAATTTAGACAACAATTTATACTTCGCACTATATATATTTGTTCTATGACCTATCATATATATATATATATATATATATATATATATATATATATATATATATATATTAATGGATTTATTAATAAGACGATAGAATTGTACCAATTTAAACCTTATTATTAGTGGATAGTAGTAATTGACTAGGTACCTAGTTTATATATTGAACAATATATTATTATATAATCTGCTGTTTAAAGTGTATATATATATGTGTGTGTGTCTGTTAGAGAGAGAGAGCGAGTATATATATATATATATATATATATATATATATATATATATATATATATATGTATAAATATAATTTTAATATATTTATTAAACATTATCGTAAACAGTATATTATTATTGTATATAATGTATAAATCGAGCTCCTAGTCAAATACGAATTTACATCTAATAATAATGTTTAAAGAATATATATATATATATATATATATATATATATATATATATATATATATATATATATATAACGTCATCCACAGACAGACTGTTTTGCTGTTT